CACGGGCAGGGGCACCTTCCATAGACCAGGTTGCTCCAAGCCTCATCCAGCCTGGCCTTGAAGGCGGCCAGGGAAGCCCCTCTCTGAAAACCCTCTTCATCCAGCCCAACTGTAACACGAGCCTTTGGAAAAGCAGAGCCCCGCAACACCTACCCCGGGATCCCCTGGTGTAGTCAAGAAGGATGGAGACTCTGAGGTTCGACGATCCCTTTGCTTGCAGCGACTCCTCCAGCGTTTCTTCCAAGCAATCCACCTGCAGAGAGATTCCTCCTTGCAGAAAGCTTGACAGGGACAGGGCTCAGCAACCAGGAGGCCGTGAAAGGTTCTGCAGCCTCCACGAGCCCTCCCCAGCCATGCCGCGCGCTGCCAGCGGAGCCCTGCCCTCGGCCAGATGGGCACCCTGCTCTACCAGCCTACAGCGGCACGAGAGCGTGTCCATTTTATGTGCACAAGTTCTTCACGCCCTGGAACAGCAATGGATCTTAGCCAAAGTCCCACACCACTCCCAAATCCCAGGTTTCGCTACCAAAGAGAAACCTTGGTAGGAGATCACGGATCAACCACGGGCTGTTCACCACGTGCAGATTCACACCTCGTGTACGAGCCCAGGCGAAGCCGGGCACAAAACCCTGTGTGGGACTCTGTCCCCCTTTCCTGCTGTGGAATTCCCATTCCAGGGTAAGAAACTGGTCAAGGTCAGGCTTCTCCCTAAAGGCCTCAGGCGAGGTCCTGGAGGCAAGGACAGCGACCGAAACGGTGAGCGGCACGAAGCAGACCTGACCTTAGAGAGCTAACGCTGTGCCTGAGTGCTGTTCCTGGAGACACGTACATCCTTGTGCTCCCAAAAAACACTGGAGAAACAACCACCCATGGCCCCACGGTTGTGAAAACCCCTCCGAGCGCTCTGCCGGCACCCGCTCCAGTTCCAGCGGTGCGGCTTCCCTATCCCAAGAAAACGTTCCGTAGGTCCACGGCTTTGTGCTGGGCCTAAACCAGAAACTCCATGTGCCTTCCCTTCCAAATCCCTGCTCCACTTCCCCACGGACAAGCACACGGAGCAGCCAGGAATGACTTGATAAGCCTCAAGGCGAGGCGAGAACGCGGGAGCTGCGGCCCCCCCCCCCTGCTGCCCCTGCCGTGGCAGGGCCTTTGGCGAGGGCAGGCACCCTTCCGCGTTCGCGTCCCCCTCCCCAAGCCCTTCCCCACTCACCAGCTCCTGCTCGAGGAGCCCCGTGCCCAGGTACAGCGACGCCATCACCACTCGCCGCTGGGCTGTTCTGATCTGCACCTGGGAGGAGCAGAAAGCACGTTCAGATCCATCCCCGGCCTCGGGGAGTTCAGGTCCGACACCAGAAAAGCAGAGCTGTGAGCTCCCACGATGGCGCAGCACCAGAACCGCTTCCGGAGGCGGACCCTCCAGGAACTTCAGCTGGACAAAGCTGGTCGGACCCGAGCCAGTGTTGACCCGGGTTTGAGCAGAAGGCCGGGGGCGTAAGCCGAGGGAGCTGCTTCCGGACAACTCGTCCATGAAGCCCTGTAACACTGCAGCTCCCGGCCCCAAAACCATTCCCGCAGCCTGGAACCCGCGACTCACCTTGAGGAGCTCATAGAATTCCGCCGGGGATGAAAGCACCTTGACGTGCGAGCTGGAGATCCCGAACTCCGGAACCAGGTTCCTGATCCACTGGAACCTGTGTGCTCCTTCCGGACAAAGGGAGCAAGGCGGGGCTGTGATCACGGGAACGGGAGGCGTGAGCAGCGGAGCCAGGAGAAGCCACGATGATCTGTGAAGGAAGATGGAGAAGCTCTGTGCGACGGGCCTTTGCTTCCCACAGCGGCCCACCCGTGGGTACAGCGGGAGCTGCAGCCAGGGCCCAGGCCCTGGATCCCTAGGGGTCCACAACCGCCTCAATCCCAGCGGAACGGCCACAGCCAAACCCAGAAGCGCAGGAGGAAAAGGTGGGAAGCCGTTCTCAACACCATCCGCTCCCTCCCTGCGCTGGCAGGGGGCGAGAGGAAACGGCTCCCTCACCAGAACGGGAACACGGGAGAGGGAACGGGCTGGGAGCTGAAGGACATGAGGATGTGCACCCCAGCCCCCCCGCCAACAGCAGGCAGTGCCAGCTCTACCCGTAACCACCCACTTCCCAACGGCCTCGCTCACACACCTCGGCTCTGCCACGGACACCGCTCCGCTTCAGCGGCACGACCAAGATGCAGG